CTGTCAATAAACTACAGTGTCACAGTAAAAATTTTTGTTCTGGTTTCAGGTGGGATAAAGTTAATTTTATCCCTAGTAGCTGCTGCAGAGTTGTGTTTTGGCTTTAGTCTGAGAATAATGTGGATAATACAGTTGTTACTAGCAGTGCTTACCCTGATAAAGGTCTCATACTCTGATCAGTAAGGAGGGACACAAGAAGTCAGGAGGGAGCAGAGACAGAACACCTGACCTGAACTAGCCAAAGGGGTATTTCCATACCACAGCATGTCATGCCCAGTATATAAACACGAGGAGGTGGCTGGGAGGCACCGATTGCTGCTTGGGTTGGTCTGAGTATTGGTCAGTGGGTGATGAGCAATTGTATTGTGTATTACTTGTGTTTCTTTGGGGGTTTATTCCTTTCTTTCTGTTGCCTCCCTTTCCATTACAATTATAATTTACTTATTACAATAATTAAACTGCTCTTATCTTAGCCCACGGGTTTTAGCTTTTTCTGATTCTCCTCCCCATCCCACTGAGGTGAGAGGCAGGGGGAGTGAGCATCTGTGTGGTGCTGAGTTGATGGCTGGTGTCAAACCACAACACAGCATATTCAAATTACTGCTAGGGATTTCAAGTGCATACATGCAAAACAAAATAGCCAGCAGTTATACCATCTTCAATGGTTCCAGTTTTTGCATCCTTTTTCTTACTCTTCTTTTTTGCAGCTTTTTGGAAAGGTGCAAACTCAACTATAGCAGCATATTCCTGACCTGTTAAGAGGAGAGGGAAAATTGCATTAAAATAGAGATGAACCAGATATAGAGTATATTATCCATGTCTACAGCAGGAAGATAAGCCTCACAAGAAATATGCAATACTAGAAGAGACTACTTGGAAAGCATAAAAAAAGTCTTGTATTGTGAAAGACATTTAATAAAAAAAACATTTTAGAGACAGCAGAATTCATGAACTAAACACTCACAACATCAACAAAAAGGCAAAGTAACAGACTCACAAGATGGAAATACTAAATTTAAGACTGCCCATAACTGTCAGTTCAGCCACCTCAGCTATACCACACCACACAACATCCTCATCCTACAGGCTCTGCTATCATTGTGCAAGTGCAAGATAATGTTTTAAGTTAATGTAACTGGGGCAAATCTCAATTTTTGGCAAAATACAATACAATGCAACACATTACAGTCAGGCTTTAAAGTTTCATCTTTTGACTAGAATGCCACATTTATGGCTGCATAAATCAAATGTTGCTGTTGGATATGGCAAATACAGCATCCTGTTACACTGCAAACCAGGCTATTTAAAAGAGGTGGGTGTTATTAGAACCTTGCCATGCAACCATTCTAAATGAGGGAGGGTCTTGTGGACAGAGCTTTGTGTCACATAAAGCAGCTGGCTGGATGAAAAGTAAACCACAAAGTTCAAGGTGAAATCCTCAGCCTAATAAAGCCAACAGGAAGACTCTTGGTAAAGGTTTTGCTAAATTTGTAAATTTAAGGTTTTTCAATGACAGACTAAGATGTTTTAGCGCTACGTGATGTAAGTAGGTTTGAAATGCAAAATTTAAGGACATGAGGTGTACTGAATACCTAACGTGCATTCAGAAAAAAAGGTAAGTGGTGACACAACTAAATACTTGGATGTTTAACCAATAAATTAAACAACATATAAACTATAGATGTAGGTCTCCAGAGACCAGTTGCTTTTACAACTTCAGGCTGCAAGAAACAAGCCACTCCTTTTACTGAATCAAGATGATCCACTCAGCTGTAAACTGGATCAAGCAATAATACGGATTAAAAACTGACCAAAAAATAAGCTGTTAGAAGTGTACAGAACAGACAAAGGGAGCAGTGGAGCAGGGCACCATTAACCTCAGCTTTGTTTAGCTTGGACAGCAACACCACCCGCCCATTTTCACTTCTCTGACTTCCCACTCAGGTATGACAATGCAAGTATTAACCTTAGTAATGCAACAACTGGGTTTATCTGGAAATCACTATCATCTTGATGTATGTATACTTTACTGGGGTTTACACATAACACTATAGGATCGATTTAGAAATACAGAAGAAAGTCTTAAATTAGCTTCCACAAAGCATAAGACTTTCTTCTCTGAAATACTGCAGAGCATTCATTTAAGGCACTAAAGCCAAACAAACACCAAGTGGCACACTGGGCTGCTTACATTCATCCCTCTACAATACAGCTCTCACACTGCGCAAACCAGGAGAGACGCACACAGCTCACTTGCCTTTGTGGTCGACAAAAACATAGCCGTCAAAGCGATCCCTGAAGAGGACTATGTCTTCCTGGTTTTTGAAGTTGATGTAGGCTCTCGAGAACATGTGAGGGTACAAGCTGCACAAAGACAAGACCCACACAGCCAGGCTCACTGGGCGGCCCGGCTGACGGCAGCAGCGGCTCTCGGGAGCCGCCCCGGGGGAGGGGGCCGGCGGCCGTACCTGGAGTCGTTGGCGAAGAACTCGAAGTAGTCATGCTCGGGCAGGGGCTGGAGATGCTCCTCCAGCTGTTCCTTCGTCAGGCTGGGCGGCAGCCGCCGGATCACCACCTGCGGCACGGACACATGGGTTGGAGCGGCCCACAGCGCTCGTTGCCACCGCCACCCCTCACACCCCTTCCCGGGGAGGACCCAGCTCCTCCCGCCCCACAAAGGCCGCCTCCAGCGGCACCGGGCGAGGCCCGTTCCCGCGGGACTGGGGGGGATCGCACCGCGCAGGCCCCACCTTGCTGAGCGTCTCCTTCTTGTCCTTGGGCCGCTCGAGGCGGTCGAGCTCAGCAGCGCCGGTCCTGCTGTCCCCAGCGGCGGCGGTGGCCGTGCCCGACCCCGCCCCCAACAGAGCCCCCAGCCCGGAGGCGGCCCCGCGCCGCTCCTTCGGCCTCGCGTTCTCCTTGTCCTCCTTCATCCCAGGCCACCGCTTCTCCCGCGACTGCGCCTTAAAGGGCCACGAGCCGCGCCCTCGGCCAAGGCCGCCCCGCCGCGGCCCCGCCGCACTACGGCTCCCGGCGTGCCCCGCGCGGCCCCGCCGCGCTACGGCTCCCGGCGTGTCTGCGTAGTGACGGCGGCGCGGGGTCAGCTGGGAGCGCTCGCAGGGAGGCCGGACGGCGGGGCGAGAGGGGGGCACCGCAGCACGGCAGCGGCGGGATGTGGTACGAGATCCTGCCCGGCATGGCCATCATGGGCGTCTGCCTCGCCATCCCCGGCCTCTCCACCATCTACATGCACCGCTGGAGTAACGGCGGCAAGGTCAGTGTGGGGGGAGGACACTGGGCCGTCTTCCCTCCCCTTTCCCCGGCGGCCCCGCCCGTGGGTCGAGATACTGGGGCTGCGCTTCCGCCGGGGCTTCCTTCCCCACACCTTTTCCTTATGGGATCTCTTCCCTCCCGTGGCCCCTTCCCTTGAGATTCCCTGGGAGCCGCTCCCCCGGGGCCGTACAGGCAGCGCTGTTCTCGCCTGCAGGAGAAGAGGATCGCCCGTTATCCCTACCAGTGGGCGCTGATGGAGAGAGACAGGCGGGTGTCGGGGGTCAACAAGTACTACGTGTCCAAGGCAGGTGCTGGGGGCGGTGGGTAGGCAGCAGTGGGAGGGGAGCAGAAGCCCTGTGCTGGGCTCTGAGCAGGACCCTGGTTGCTCAAGGCTATGGGAACTTACTCTGCCCCTGCAGCCTGCCGGGGGCATCTGCATTTTCTTAGTCATGTTCTTAATTATTTTTTGACAAAACCTGCATTTTCAGCTGTGCCCTTCTGCAAGTTAGGGATAATAATGGTGCACATACAAATGATACTGTTTCTTTTTCAGGGTCTGGAGAACATAGACTAAGGTGATGGCTCTTCTGAAGAATCCACTTAACCTATATAAAATGATTTAACTCTAATAAAGACATACATGTATACAAACCTTGCATCTGCTGCTCTTGTATGGTGACCCCACCTGGGTGCCAGATGCCGCCAAAGCTGCTCTGTTAGTCCCCTCCTCAGCTGGACAGAGGAGAGAATATATAAGAATGGATGGGTACAGCAGGACAGAACAGAGTGTAAACAGGAGGAAGCCAGGTGGGCTGGACTTACTGTTTGCACACACCTGCAGAACTCCAGGCCAGACATTACAGGACTTTTATTTTCTTTATACAAACATACAGGACATCTCTCTGCTGCCAGAAGTACAACACAGAGATTTAGGTGAACAAAACAACCATCTAGAAAACACTTTGGTTTTAAAAGCATCTGAGAAAAAGGCGGCTCAGGGCGTATGTTTGGAAATATGCAGTTGAATCACAGAAGCACTATCCAGAGTAAGCCTCCAAGTACAGTTTAAAGAAATGCATATAATACTGCTAAACCAGACCAAATTAAAATAGCAGAGAAATTAACATAGGATTTTACTATAGACACTTCCATAAACAAAGGAATTTCAAATAAATTGAAAGATACATCCTTGTTACCACCTGTGTACATCCAGGGGTTCCAATCACTGCACCTACTGCTCCCGATACCTATGTATGACATAGGAGAAAAAGAAGCAAGCAACTTAGTTCTTCACTGCAGGCCTCCATGGTTATGTAATACACCTAAGACACCAAGTTGCAATCTGCTTGCTTTAAAGTAACTGAAGCCCATCTGTATTAAATTACAAATTCATTTCTATTTACAAGTCTAGTTTGAACCACAAACTAAACAAAATTGTGTTGAGTTAAAAAAACCAAAACCAGATCTAGATCAAGTGGAGAGACTTAGATCTTAAACAGGAACTTAGGAATTCCTTCATTTTTGCTACTGTTTCCAGTAGCTTGTTAAAGGTCTTTTGCAACCTAAATTATTCTATGCTTAATCAAAACAAATGGAAAATCTCACTTATCAGCATTAGGTAAAAAAGCCCTCCCATGGAATCCTTCTACTTGTCTGATTCAAAGTGAGCTCAGAACATTGCACCTTTCATCTTCCCTGCCTGTTCCTGCCTTCCCTGCCTTTTGTAGCCTTTCATTTTACAGGCATTCCTTGTGAATGGAGAGCAAACCATCCAAGAAAATCTGACAAAAGCAACTCTTTCCTTGATCCAAGGAATCCACTCCTGAGGCTTGACCCTGTTGGGTGAAAAGCACTGCAGCACTGGAAGGTTTTTTGTCAAGTCACAACTGGAACAGGTCAGCTGCTGCTTGGTAGAACCTGTGGTGTCCAGTCCAAATGGAGAATTATTTTTCCTCTTTGCCTTTAGTCTTTCTATAGACCATCTCTCGGAAGCTTGCAAGGATCTTATTCTCTCGTTTTCTCCTCTCCTCCTGGTTGAAGGATGCCAGAGCTCTCTTCTCATCTGCACTGTAAATCTGGTTCTCTTTACGCAGACGCACAGCTTCCATTCGGCGATGTCTGCAGAGGAGAACATTGTGTACTTCAGCATGAACAGAGGGAAGTAATGCCCCATCACGATTTACATCCCTCAACTGGGCTGAATGTTCTGAGTGGCTTATAAAGATATCTACACTAGAGCATCCAAACTGCACACAAGCCTTCCCGTGAAGGAGCATGGCAGAGCAAGAAACTGACTTCTGGTGGTGGCTGCTCTCAGGCAGTCAGCCAGAAAGCCCAACCTACCCCAAGGGTGTCAGCTGCTGCCTTATCAAAATTTAAGGGAAATTCCTGTTGGACTCAGAGAAAAAAGCACAGCCAACCTCTCACCCTTGAATTATTCTCCTACTGAAGAGCCAGCCATCACCACTGCTGTGCAAACACACTGCCTTTGAGCCACCTGACACTAGAGTCTCCTCATTTGAAAACTAAGATAATTACAAGTGTACTTACCTAGAAAGTGTAATTATCTGTAATTAGCTAGAAAGAATTTTTGTTCTTGAGGAGGAAGTGTTCTTCCAAAACCAAGTTGGATAGATATATCATCTATCTATAGCAAGATCGAGTTTAGTGTAGATTACTGCAAGCACACAGAGCACCTTCTCTTCCATGCTTTCAACCTGAGCTTGGAAGCAGTCTTCTAACCAGTTAGCAGCAGAAGCAGCTCTTTAAAATCTCACCGAACCATTATCATCATCAAAACAATACCTGCTGCCACTCATGACATAACCAGAGCTCTCAAACGACGCAATCTCTTCACTGGTCAAGCCGATTTCACCTCTCCGGGGTATACGTTTTCCTGCTTTTACATATTCTGCCATTGCGGCACCTTCACCGGGCAAGAGGGCATGTCCATAGCTTAAAAAAAAAATAAGTACTGATTTCAGTCTCTAATAGAGAGAGAAGGAGCTAAACATCCAGCTTTTTTCCCATTAACTGGCCTGTTTTTCCTTATGGCTAACACTAGCAAGAAACTCTTAAATTAATACATTCCGATTAAACGGTAATAAAGACACTGTAAACTCACAATACTGCAGAGCATTAGCATAAAGGCATCTTAAAATTGATTTCCTGGGAATCAAGGCTAAAAAGCATAAACCAGACTCTTCTACCTGGATTTAGGTCAGCACAAAGGCACACACCACTGCTACTTGTGCCTGTGAGTTTCTGGCACTGCGTTTCTCTCTGATGCATGCCAGGCTCTTAGAACAGCCCTTTTGAAAAGTAACCTTCAGGCTTCATTCAGTTGATTTAATCAAAATACTGTTAAGAACTGGCTACTCACTTCAAAGGCCTGTCATCCTGAGATGCATGAGTTTTGGGAGCTTCTGGTCCAATCAAGCTATCAGCTTCCATATTTTCTGCAGCAATCAAATAATGAGGAAGATTAATTTTTTGTTACCAGAACAACATCACCTAATAAAAGTCACAAAAGGAAACTAAGAAGCTTTGATGCAAGTTTAAAGCCAGGTGAACCTACTTGATCTCTCAATCCAGAGATCTTCCCCTTGAAACATTTCTTCATCAGAATCTTCACTACTCGAATCACTGGATTCCTTCCTGCTCTTCTTATTTTTCTTTTTCTTGTACTTCTTCCTGTGATAAAGTCAAAGACAGACATGTTATTTCCCAATATCTAAGATGAAATAAAGTGCTTGGAATCATATTCAAGTCACCAGTTTCTTAACGCAAGTTTGGGGGGAAGACCTGGTTTGTCTGCATGCAGATCGTTGTTGTTTCATAGAAGAAAATGACTTACAGCAAAACAAAGACAACATATACACTGTTACACATGTCATATAGTGTTAGAAAGTTGCTCCCTATGCTTGCAGTGAGTCCTCTGCTGCGTGGTTCTGCAGATTTAAAGAAAATCCATCAAATTAAGATTACTCAACAGCATTTACAGCCCTAACAAGAATGCTCACTGAGCCTTCCTCACTATCTGCTATGAAAGTGGCACTGCCCTCTGGCCAAAAGCAGGTAGAATTACACACAACCACCCGGAAACTTACTTTCTGTTCTTTTTCTTCTTCCTGCTTTTCTTTCTATCTTCATCTGAAAAAAAGAAAGCATGTATATTATCAAAAAGAGATGATTAGCTATAACTAAGTAGTTTACTGCACTGTGAATAACCACCTCCACCAGAATGCCTTAGTACACAGCTGCTCAGACATGATTTGCTCAGGTACCAAGTAATACTGCAGAAGTACAAGTAGAGAGCTACCTGCAATACTGTTTGATATGAGAACATATCAAACATATTTCTGGCATGGGGTGCCCAATGGGTGCTAAATTTTACAAGGGCAGGTAGTGCCAGGGGGAATGGCTTTAAACTGAAAGAGGGGAGATATAGATTAGAAATTGGGAAGAAATTCTTCATTATGAGAGTGGTGAGGCCCTGGCAGAGGTTTCCCAGAGAAGCTGTGGCTGCCCCATCCCTGTCAGTGTTCAAGGCCAGGTTGGACAGGGCTTGGAGCAACCTGCTCTAGTGGAAGATGTCCCTGTCCATGGCAGGGAGGTAGAACTAGATGATCCTTAAGACCCCTTCTAACCCAAACCATTCTAGGAAATTCAGAAATCCTATTTCCTAAGGCCAGACCACAAGCACTCAAGGAAAATACACTGCAAACCCAGCAAGATGATGAAAGAATACCAGATTGGTGGTGCAGCTCTGTAATTTCCGAACATTTTAAGTGTGCAACAAAAGCCAGAAGTGTCACTTCACATTCAGAGGAGCAGCAGAAGAGCTCTCACACCACATGCATTAGCTGAAACCCTCTCTTCTTACCACTGGAGTCCTCAGACTCTGACTCGCTGTCGCTGTCCTCAGAATGTTTTCTGCGTTTTCTTTTGGATCCCTTCCGCTTTTTCTTCTTCCTTTTCTTCTTCTTTTTCTTTTTTTCCTCTAGAAGGTTTTTAAAAGGTAACCTCAATAATTAGGGAGCAGACAAAGTTCATCTAGCTCCATACAAGTCTCAATCTTCCGAATGCAACACTCTCCTTCAAACTGGAGCCCACCACACTCACTTCCACCTATCCAAGTTGGTGAACCTCTTGCAAGCAAGAGATTCTAGACTTCATCAGTTTCCCATTTTCAAAACAAGCTGTGTAAGCAAAACAAAATACCTTCCGAGCTGGAATCTGAAGAACTACTCTTAGATTTTGCCTCTTCGTCTTCTACCGGTGTGTGCTCATCAGAACTGAATGAAAATAAGAAGTTGGCTATTTACAGTCTGTTGTGCAGGATTCAAGATCAAATGTACACATGGCCAAACACACAGTTGCAGATTTTGAGTCAGTGCTGGCAATAGAGCAAACTATTAAACAGCTGATTTACACCACAGGAATTGGCTTCAGACCCACAAGACAAAGATTGCCTGACCTACAATAAATCATGTCTTGCAAAACTGGCAGTTGGAATTAACTGGGGAATTATTTCTGGGAAAATAGCGGAAGCTGGGGAAGAGGAAGTAATGATTTCATTATGATGGTTCAGAAATGAAGTGACTCACATGAACTAAAAAGGACTAGTGGAGGGATAAGACATTTTTGTAAACTGAACTGACATATAATCAGTATCATAAAAAACAGAGGAAAAGAAGAAAGAATACATCTTACTCAGGGTCAGGAACCTTTGGTGACAGTCCCCAGACTTCGGGTGCCCCCAGTTCTCCAATCCTCTCTCTTTCGTTGAGTCTCCTGCAATGGAGAATGCCTTCACTGACCAAGATCAGATGAGATCGGGCATTTTCAGGGTGATAAGAGCCTACAGCACCCAGGATTCCCAGGCGGTCTCCCATCCAAGCACTAACCGAGCCCGACCCTTCTTCAAAAGCCCAGCTATTCTAGAAAAGCTCTAAAGCTTTCAAACGCTTTTATTGTCATCTCAGAACTGAGAAAGAATAGAGAATAGAGCTAGTGAAGCTCTAGAGGCTTTTTCATGTGAGGTTATCATTAAAATGTCAGAAAACTAATCAAAAAGGACTGGGACGGGGTTGGTACCCTTGTGGTGCTTTAGCCGGGAACCGAACCCAGGTCAACTGCTTGGAAGGCAGCTATGAAAGTGCTACACCCGGCACGTCAACGCTTTAAGCCTGATGTTCTGTTGCCGTTTCTAACCACCCAAAGCACCTAAAGCGCATACAAGGCACACCCAAGGGCCGCCGCAAGGACAGGCCGAAGGGGCCGAAGCCCCGCCAGGCCGCGAAGGGACCGTACACAAACGGGAGGAGCCTCTGGAGCGGCGCTCACCTCTGCCGCAGGATCTCCTCCTTCTCCTTCTCGTAGTACTCGGGCCAGGCCTTGCCGTGGTAGTAGCCGTGGTGCGCGGCTGCGCGCGGCCCGCCGGGGGTGCGCTCGCGGGAGCGGGACCAGCTGCGGCTCCGCCGGTGGTTCGGCCGTTTCAGCCCGTTGCGCTCGCGGGAGCGGGAGCGCGACCGACGGCCGCGGCGCTCGGGGCTGGCGGCGGGTGGGCTGCGGGACCGCGACGCCGGCGCCATGGCGGCCGCGGCCAACGACACGCTTCCGGGCGGCGCGCGGCTTCCGGCGCCCTCCCGGCTGGGCGGGGCGGAAGCGGGACAGCTCCGCGGCGCTCCCGGTGGCGGCTCGCTTTGTGCTGCGGGGCTGCCCGACAGCATGGACGTGCGGGAAGAGGCGGCGCCAGGTACGGCGGAGCGGGCGGCGGGGTAGGGGTGGCGGCGGTGCAGGCCGGGAGCTGTCCAGGGCTGCCCGGGAGCAGTACTGCCCGGCGGACAGCTCACGGCCCCGCCGCCGAGGGCAAGATGGGGAGTCCCCGGAACCCGCAGGGCTGCGGGCGCTGGGACTTCCCTTTTCCCCTTGCACCGGGCCCCAGCGCCGCCCGGAGCCTTCACGGCCGGTGTTTGAAGATATATCAACAGGGCACTGCCCAGACCGGCCCGTTGCTGTTGTGGCCGCCGGTGGCAGCATGTGAGGAGCGCCCGGAACAGCCGCGGTTTGGGGAGAAAATGGTACAAATCAGGAGTTCCGGGAGGCCGCTCTCTGTCCCTCCTCTGTGCGCGCCCTTCCCCACAGGTGCCAGGTTTGAGCACCTTCCGGCGGTGCTCTTTGGAAAAACAAGTTGCTCCTGCTCTGCCCTGGAACGCGGCGTTACGCTGGTGGGCTCCTGCGAGGAATAGGGACATAACGATATTAGCAGGGGTTTGTGTATGTGTTCGGTGTTACTGTACCCTGTGTCTGGCTGAGGACGGCCTGGTGTCTCCTCTGTTTTCAGTATCAGGGATTACGGCTTGTCCAATTAAACTAGACAAGGCTGTCTTTTAAAAGGCTGTTGTTTTGATCGGCAGCCGAGTCATTTGAATGAGACAGCCGGAAGCCTGCAGCGGCTGAATCCATACTGCATGCATTAAGGCTCAGTGACTTTGTCTCCCTGAGCTTCCAGTCTCAGGAAGAACTTGAAACCCAGAGTGATCCTAAGACTGCTGTCCATAGCCACGCTCTCCTCACAGATTGCCCAAGCTTGTTTACCCATGTGGTGTGATCAGATGTCCCCAGGAGGAAGTCCGAGTCATTATGTGCTCCCAGCACTGGTTACAGGAGGTCATGGCAGCGACTCATGAGAGGGATGGAAGCTGCTGAGCCAGACATGTAATGTGGGGACCTGTCTGTGTGGCAGGTAAATGCACCCTGAGGCCTTTGAGGCATGTAGCCCTCCCTCGCTTTTCCCCTGGGATCTCCCACAGCCAGGACTTGGAGCAGAAAAGGGGTGGAAGACCCTGAAACGTGGCTGGTGGCAGAGTGCTGTGTGCTGGAGCCTGGGTTTTGGGGCTGAGAGGAGAGCAGTGTGTGTGGGGGGGGGGGGTCGGTGGCGCTGAGCACTGCAGTGGTCGTCACAGCTGGATACAGCAGCTTGGGCAGCTCCTGTGGTCTGGCCTTGCACGTTGGCACCCAGGGCCTGCATTGGCAAGATGGTGACTGAAACTTCTCAGGAGCACTCTGCACCTCTGTTACTTCACGTAGGAAAGTGATTGGAAGTATTTTTCTACATAGGCTGTACAATGCACATATATACAGTATGTAACAACAGCATCTACAAGTACTGATATCAATAAAAAGTATCACTGGACTTTAAATTCAGTTATATGAGGTTTTATAGATAATGAGATTGACAGGAAAAATACTCTGAAAATTCTTTGATACATGAATGGTAGAAATTAATATTTTGAGAGTCCTTTCAGAAGCAGGGGTGTTTGAAATTCCACAGTGGAATGGTATTTCTGTCCCTAAAAATAGTCTTACTTTAATTTTGATTTCACTGCAGGCCATAAGGGGAAATTCACTATTCTGTTTACCAAGTTTAATTTATTTCAGTGTAAAACACATTTTTCTTGGCAGAAAATGCTGCTTTTTCTCAGAGTTGTCTTTTAAAGAATCTGTTCCCACAAACCGCATTTTTAAAAGCGAGATCTTCAAATTACTCAAAACTTGTCACTGTTTTGCAATGGGGGTTTGTCTTCTCACAGAAACCTACACGTGATTCTGCGAGTCTTTAAAGTTGTGCTTTGTATTTTCAGAGCCTCCATCCCAGAGGATCACTTCTATGCATCAAAATAGAAGTTGCTACTCTGTCTCAATTTTCTCAGTTCCAAGGACATTACCCAGGTTCTAGACATTCTCCTCAATATCTTAGATAAAATGGTTCAATTTGTCACTATCTTTTAATTTTTTACGTGAGTCAGCTCACCAAACACTTTCTAGCCTTACGTAAAAATAAAAGGGGAAAAAACCCCAAACAAACCCAAAACTAAGAAGTGCATGGTAGACAAAAAAATATTTGCATTGACATTCTGTGTTCAGGTGCAGTGGGACTGAGTTGCAGCTTCAGTAAAGCATTAGCTCTGTCCTGTCTGTGACAAGGTGAATATTATACATTAAGAATTAAATAAATGTTATTCTCATTTAATATAACCCCCTGTGTAAAGATGTCTGAGAACCTGTGTCAAAGGAGAAAAACTGAATTGAAGGGTTGCATGAGGAAGAAAAGCCAATCTTTTCCTCAGTTATTATTTTCTATTATTTATTATTTTCTACTCTCTAGAAAACCTGTAAATAAGGAGAAAACAGCTTTGTAACATTTCAGATCTGAAGGCTGGCTTCAAAAAGGCACTTCTGCTACTAGCTATACAATACAGGGAGCATGGCAGGTGATTTTCTTGCTGGCAGGGTGCATAAACCCCGGCAGGACCATTTTGCTGCTGAAACGTGCAGTGAGGGATTGCAGTCGTTTGTGGCACTGACTGTGGCCTGTTAATATTTCTGGTTGAACTTGATAGGAGGACAGTTGTTCTTGGCAAGGGTTTTGAATCATGAGAAAAATCACAAACTCCTGTGGTTCAAGTCATAAAATCCATAGGGAAAAAAGAAAAGATTAGTAACTGAAGATGAAAAATATCTTTTATGATTTTGGTGCTCTTTGAGCGTTCAGGAGCAGTGACAGTTCTGAGAGCCCGCATTGTGGGTACGTCACTTTGCTGACTGTTGATGTGCCGAGAGCTGCATTTTGTCAAGGGACTGCACAGTGGAGTCTGATCAGTGCCACCATGGTGCACAGAATACAGAACGGATGCTCCTGCAGCATGAGCCTGGGTGCTCGGGTTTGGGTTACATTGTCAGGCCAGGGTGCCAGCTGCATCAGTGGTTGGCAGAGCAGCGCTCAGCCTGTTTCCTTCCCCCGGGAAGGAACTGAGCCGCTGTGGTAAATAACCCGCTGCCAGCACAGCTCCCCAGCCTTATCCAACACGGCCAGAGGTAAGGCAGGTGTTGGGGGGGCTACTTCGGGCCTCCCCTGGGGCGAGGGGAGCGCTGGGAGCCAGGCAAGGATTGTCAAGGCCGAAGTGAGGCCCGTGTGTTCGGCCCTCGGCTGCCCAAGGCCTCCTGCAGAGCAGCGCCGGGGACCGGCGGGGCGGGAGCCTTCCCCCCTCAGCTGCCCAGACACGGGGTCTTGTGGCCTGTAACCGGCTCTCGACAGCAAGGGGCGGGAGAAGCCGCGGGGCCGGAGGCTCCTGGCAGCCACCGCCCACCTCAGCCCGCCCGCTGGGGAGGAGGCCGGGCCGGGGGAGCCACCCCCAGCAGGGGCACGGCACGCCCGGGCAGCCCGGCCGGAGCCCCTGCTTGCGGCGGTCACAGCCCCGCCCCGCCCTCCGGTCCCGAGCGCGCTCGAAGGCTCCCGAGGCCGCTCGGATCGGGGCGCACCGGGGCGTGACGAGCGCGCTCGGGCGGAGCACGGCGGCCCGCGGAGGAGGGCAGAGCTGCAGCGCTCTCTGGCGGCCGCGCAGCGGGGCGGTGGAAGAGCAGCAACGGGGGCCGTGGCTGTTGCGCGCGGTGGGAGCTGGCGGCCGCAGCGCAGGTAACGTGGATCCTCGTCTTCCTCCTGAGCGCCGCGGTGCGGCCCTGCTCTCCCCCTCCCCGCCGCCGGAACGGGCGGGCCCTCCGCTCGCCTCTCCCGGAGCAGGAAGCGGCGGCGGCGGGCACGGCCTGTCCGAACGGAGGCGGTGGAGGGGCCGCCCGTCAGTTCTCGGGGCCCGCCGCCTGTAAGCGCCGCCGACGCCGCTGCTCCCGCGGGAGCCCGCGGCGTGGCCCGCGAAACGCGTTCCGCGGCGGTGGCATCTCTAGCTCGAAACGCTGGTTTGCATGGTAAAGTTCACCGGGGGCAGCGGGGGAGGGCCGGGGGAGCGAGGTCTGGCGGCGGGGGTGGGCTCGGCCTCCTCATCTCACCTACTTCAGGCGCACAGAAATAAAGTTTAACGAGTAAAATCAAGGACTGACAGCTCTGAACTCACCGTTCGTGTATGTGAATGTTGTTTTGTTACCGTGCTGCCACAGTGTCTCGGTTTCAAACACAAAGCAACCTTGCAAACCTGTGAGGAGGCATAAAAACAGAAGTTTATTTTTCTGGGGAAAAAAAGGAGAAGTGTCAGTAGCATTTTCATTAATCTTTGTTGACTGGTAGTGTATTGATGCACAGATTTTGCTGTCTGGCCTATAAATAATGTGGATGTTACCAGGTTTTCTCATAACTATTTATGGAATATTCTCACAATTAAAAATAATTCTCTAATCATGTTTAAAGTCTTTCAAGGGACCTGAATCTTGCGTCTTCTTGGTTTTCAAATTTACCGTATTTGCTCTTGAATCAGATACGCAGTTGTTTGTCTTTTCCTCGCCTTGTAAGAGCAGAGGGTATACTCAGAATTGCACGTACCTTGTGTAGAAGGTGAAGGGACAAATAACAAGAAACAAATTTAGAGAGTTCTATATATAGCATATAAGCCTGTGAATAGGATGTCAGATTCGTTTTTGGTTTTCAAAGGGATGAATAAACAGTAAATGTCGGACCTTTGCCATGCAGTTAAAACCGTAAACCTCTGTTTTCAGTGGTTTGATGCCTTTTACTTTCTCTTTGTAGGAATGGAGGGGAAAAAACTGATTTCAGCAACAGACGCACAGTATTCCAGTGTGCTCCTCCAGTCTTTGAATG